AGCCGGTTCCTCAAACCCCTGTCCAGCCGACATCATCTTCTCACAGCCTGACAGACGAAGACGTGGTCAAGTTTTTCAAGCAGACGCACTCCATGTTGTAGATGATCCCTCCAGATGATGAGAACGGGCCGCAAATATCACAGATGTTCTCTCAAATCCTGAAGGGATGCGGTGATTCGACGGACCCACTGCCGGAGTTGGGGGGATTGGGCGAGGAGAACATTCTTCCCTGCCACTGGCAGGGCGTGCGGTTGCACGCGTTTTGAGTCACGTCTACCATCTGTTTAAAACGTTGAACATTGAACAATAAATATTGAAAAATCGCGTTCGAATTTGAGTTGGATTTCGAATTCAGGACCTGCTATAGTTGGACCTAGTTGGACTTAGCAGTTGTCGCCCGTTATAACGTCGCAAACCTATGTGGCTTTACTGATTGGACATGCTGCTCAAATTCTTTATGTGCGCACCTGCCTACGACAGTCGCACAATTCACGTTCGTGTTGCTTGAGTCATATCCAAAAGAGTTCTATTTTTACTAGGTATACTGAGCTGGTAGGTTCTTCAGTCTCATCATTGCGCTCATTGACGTGTCTCTACCTTGACATTATACAATCATAGTCTCGAAATATTACGAGGAACGACCATGCAAATCGCTCCCCCAGTTCTCAGTACGCCCTACACAGACATTTGGTCTTTCAAATAATCTTTCAGAACGCTCTTAATGGGAGAGACCTTGCTAGCCTTGCTCGTGTGGCGCGAACCTGCAAGACATTGGCGATCTTACGAGGCGCTAAGTCTACGTACTATGGAGAGACCTGCCCTACCCGAGTCCATTGTATCTACTCAAGATTTTTCCATCGTTGATCACATGGAGGAGTCCTGTTTGAATCGCCGGTATGAGCAAATTCTTGTCTGCGTGCGTGAACTAGTCCCCAGTCGCATGACACAATGCTTATCATTGTGAAGTTCTTTCAAAGTTTCGAGCCAATTATCAATGATGAATGGATGAGATTCAAGTATTATTCCGGAAGGGTGCTCACATTAGACTGCCAGCTGATCACGCCAGCCCGACGAGATTGTTCAGGTTGATCCTTCGGTTTTCTATTATATTTACCTTCGTGCTGGTGGCCAACCACTTCTACTACTGCTACTCCTATTGAGTCGGTGGTCGGGCCCCGCATCAGAAATCTCAGATCTTTCTGGATTCTTCTCCCATACCTTGCTTGAAACTCGATATAGCTTTGTCGGACTTGATCCACATCCTTGCTTTAAGAGAGGGACAAGCATGCAGTACAGTGTTTTCCTTCAGCCCTTCATTCCAATGCACCCTGAGCCCGATTATGCGAGCTGCGCCTAGATATAGTGAGTGGCAAATATTTTTCTACCTGCTTTTGCACATCTTCAAGAGCTTGTCTCATTTGACTGATACAATTACAATGAACTACAGAGCAGAAGTGACCGTCATCTGTGAGCTTTAAGGTCGTCAGAGATCCGTTACTAAGCTTCGTGTGGTTAGAGTAGTGATCCCGTTGTGTATTGATTCAATTTGAACAAGTGTATCTTGCACAATGCAGACATTCAGGCGTACATTGGCAGATAGCCTAAGTTACTATCAGTACTAGTACGCGCAGACCTTGTCTTTCTTTGGGGCGCCTAGCCTCTCAGGATCTCATGAGCTCGGTCCGTGAGAGCGTCTGCCTCCGCCCACTCTGTCAGTTGCCTGCGCTCACCGAGGCCAGGATGGACTTCAACATCATTTCCGAAAATGCGTCTAGGCTTGGGGCGCGGCTGCAGGAGACGTTCTCGGAGCACACCCGCGATCTAAATATTGCGCGTGCGTCGAGCTCGACATATCTCGACAATCCTGAGGAAAAGGTGAAGAACATCAAGAAACAGCTCGACTCGAACAGCGACAGGGAAAAGCTGGAGGCGATGAAGAGGCTCATTGCAGTATGTTCCCGTTGTTCTCCCTCGAGTCGGCTATGTTCACCGTCCGCGGCAGCTCATCTCAAAGGGCCGCAACGTCTCCGAGTTCTTCGCGCAGGTCGTCAAGAACGTCGCCTCCCACAACCTCGAAATTCGCAAGCTCGTCTACATTTATCTCCTCCGCTACGCAGAGCACGAGCCCGACCTCGCCCTCCTCTCCATCAATACTTTCCAAAAGGACCTCTCCGATTCCAGCCCCCTCATCCGCGCCATGGCCCTCCGCGTCCTTGCCGGCATCCGTGTACCCATGATTGGCAGCATCGTTGTCCTCGCAATCAAGAAATGCGCTGCAGATGTAAGCCCCTACGTCCGCAAGGCCGCAGCCCTTGCCATTCCAAAGTGTTACAGGTGCGTGCTGTTCCTCTTCCGCCAGAGGCCTTGTCAATCTCTCGCCCGCACAGCTTAGACTCCTCCCACCAGCCAGAACTCATCACCATCATCTCTACTCTCCTCCGCGATCGCTCTCCGCTCTCACTGGGAAGTGTTGCCGTCGCCTTCGCAGACGTCTGTCCAACGCGCCTCGACCTTCTTCACCCGCACTACAGACGCTTGTGCCGCACGCTCATCGATGTGGATGAATGGGGTCAGGCAGACCTCTTGGGTCTGCTTATCCGTTATGTGCGCACTATGCTTCCGCGTCCCGCCACAAATCCAGATACAAATACCGACGAAGTGGACGACGACCTGAAGCTCCTCTTAGACTCTGCTGAGCCATTGTTCCAGTCACAGAATCCCGCGGTGAGTCTCTAGCGAATGTCCTCCATCTATAATCGGAGATTAACGTGGGTTGCATAGGTCGTGCTCGCTGTCGCACGCGTCTTTTACTACTTGGGGCCTCAGTCACAGACATCGAAGGTCGTACTTCCTCTCCTTCGCCTATTGCACGCGTCTCAAGAAGTGGAGCGAGTCGTGCTTGCATATCTCGCTACTGCCTCTCCTTTGCTCTCGGTGCGTCTCTTTTAAGTGCAGCTGTTCTGGTAGTATGACTTAATATACTGCAGCAAGCTCTTGCTCCTCACTATGCACGCTTCCTTGTACGAACAGACGATGTGCGCCAAACGAAGAAAGACAAAATTCGCCTCTTACGCGCGGTAATCACTCCAGATACCCACCAAGCGCTCCTTCGCGAATTTATAGTAAGCATCGTTCGCGAGATATCTTCGTCTCTGAACAGCTGAAACGCTCAGGCCTACGCGGATGATACAGATGACGTGCTTGTCGCAGATGCTATTCAGGCTATCGGATATTGCGCGCGTCACATCCCTGAATCCACCCAGCAATGCCTCTCGGCACTGATGTCATTCATTCAGAGCAAACATGGTTGGTGCATCTCCTTCTTTACCTTAACGTAGACTTAATCATCGCGCTGCAGACGTCGTCGTCGCTAACGCAGTTCTCGTCCTCAAGTCCCTCGTACAAATACGTCTGCAGCAGCAATCCCCACCCTTACACACCTCAGTTCCCGGGAGCTCCACCACCTCCCCATTGTCCATCATCTCGCGGCTGGCCTGGAAGATCGACGAGATCCAGCATCCTAAAGCGCGCGCATGCGTCCTCTGGCTTGTCGGCCAGTACGCGGCGTCGGATACCGAGCCACAGTTGAATGGTGTGCAGCATACGGGAAGCATCGAGGGCATTGCGGATTGGGCGCCGGACGTGCTGCGTAAGTCTGTCAGGTCGTTCGCCCAAGAGGTACGTGACGCAGCATCTGGATTTACATGGTATACGCTCATTTTTGGATATCGGACATCTTGATGCATCCTCGCTACATACGTTAGACCCCAATCGTGAAACTGCAGATTCTCACACTTGCAGCGAAACTACTAGTGCTCTGTCCGACAGACCGCGCACTCGGCCTCCTCACGCGTTATGCACTGTCACTCGCACGATTCGATCTCAATTTTGATGTACGCGATCGAGCGCGGATGCTAGGCTCCCTCCTGTTCGGGGTGAATCCTACAGTTTTGCAGGACAGTGATGATTCGTACGAGAACCCGGGCGGCGTGACGCTGCGCCGCGAACAAGTGAGGATGGTGCTTTTCGAGGGAAAGCTCGGAACTGCTGAGGAATTGTCGAAGACAGGTAATTATCGACTGGTGTTGATCGTGGGTACAGCAGCTAATAGCAGACTGTCTAATAGCAGACGGAGAACGCCAGTTCTTTGGCTCGCTCACTGCGGTCACAGGAAGGGAATTCCTTGACAGCCACCTCCCAGATTGGCTCGAAGAGGGCACCGAGTCGTCCCTTAGAGATACTGAAGACGATGCCCCCCCGCCGCCTATGATCTCACAGATTTCATCTCAGTCGGGTCCCCGTGCAATAAGCTCACGGGCGACACCTATTGTCCTAACGCCTTCGAACGGATTGTCTCCTTCGAGTTCGTTCGTACGCCAGAATGGATCACGATCTGATTGGACAGATCTCGATAAGTTCTACGAGGACACGAACGACGAAGAGGACGAGAGCGAAGACAGTGAAGACGAAGATGATAGCGATGACGACGAGGAAACCGGGGAAGATGGAGAGGGACCTGATGAAAGCGATGACGACGAGAGCGAAGAAGAGCAAACCCATAGATAACCATGATATCTGTTCAATATATCCATCGACAAGAAGTTACACAACAACACCGTCAGGTATTTGGTAGTACAGGGGCTAAAAGAGAATGTCAGAAACATCATGACACTACTGCTCAGGAAACAGACCGTGTTGAAGACATGATAGTAATGTCCCCGTATTCCGCCTGTTTCGGGATAGTACTCCATCGGGAACCACTATAAATACAAAATATTAATGGCTCGTATCGTCCAACAGCAAAATAGAGCCTTACATGGTCCTCAGGAAGCTCTTCTTTCCAGGAGCGTAGGTAGCGAGCATCATGACTGTCATCCGTGATACCGAGTCCGTTCCTGGGCACTACAAACTGCCCAATCTGTAGCTCCGTGTCCGTAATCGTGCTTCGAGACACGCGGGCGTACGCCGTGCGATAGAGGCCACGGTAGAATATGTATTCACACCTGGGGCCAATGAGAACTCATATATCCGCTAACGTGACAGAGGGACATACCATCGATCTGAGTCTTGTTCGTCAATATCGTGAACTCGTCCGTCTGAAACCATAATTTCATATGGAGATGCTGTGGCATGGTAAATCAGAGGCGGTGGGAAGATAGTGTTGTAGTGCCATGAGTGACTTACGTCTCAAGGCTTGAGGTTTGGTTACCACGTATCCGAGGAATATGACAGGTCGTGGATATGATTTGGACATAATGCGAGCAATTTCCGTTGCTTGCAGCTCGCGGTCCAATGGCGTCTCCTCTGATCAGGGATTATTGCGCCGTCGCGATACGAGAACAAGTACTGCTTTACCTTGCCCATTGTGCGCAACAACTACCGTGACTTCTGTCCCGTACATGTCAAGGACCGCTTCAATAGCGGGAGCAAGTTCCCCATCGGGAGACGGAAGAAGGTGATGAGTGGAGTTGATGATTGGGAACTACAAACCCTTATTTAAATATAAAATCAGTTTCAGCAGGAGATCTTTTACCTTAGACAGGAGGGCAGCCCCCCACGTATGGGAGTTCGGTCCAGGACCGATATCCACATGCTGTGATAGACATCAGACATTATTCGCGAGCACTTGATATGACTTACGTAGCCAAGTTCTTCTACCATCACGCGTGTGCTAGAAGAGTATGAAACACATGCAGTGAGAATGGAGAATAAGTACGTACAGATCTCGGTTGCCAAAAACGGTGCGCTGTGCCGGATGATGGCGGTCAGTTACTGAAGACATGAGAATGGTTTCAGTCCAACATACGTGCAGATCTGTCTCGAGCAAACCGACAACATCTAGTTCCATATCCCTGATATCAAAATCATCAAATGCCCACTGCGGCAAACAAGAACACAACACTCACTTCACCAAGTTTCGAATGCGCTGCTGACTATCCCGACCCTCATTGTCAATTCCAAAGTGAACCGTCCAGATACCAGTACGAGCAATCCGGGCTCCTGGTCTATGTGGCTTGACGATTGTCGTGGGCCACCGGTACATTGTCACGAGCAAAGAAAGCACAGTAAATACAGCAAGTGTGCTGCCGAAGGCTATTCTAGTTTGCGCGGTGTGGCGCGGTGAGAGAATTTGAACTCTGGACCCTGGCCACTGGAACGCTAAGCCAAGTCCAATCATAAGTCCGACTAAGACTCTAAACTGGATGTAAGCCATTATCAAGTACAAAATCCCGCCTCCCATACTCACAGGTCAGTGCGTTCCCTAAAATACTGTCCGCCGGGGACAAACGCGTACGCAGCAGTTAGAACGCTCACTACGTAGACCGCAGATACCAGCAGCCATGCTATCAAGTGCGTCCTCGCCACCTTCCCTGTAGAAGCCACGCGATGAAGGACGGCTGGGATGATAGACATGAGGAAGATGGCGAAAGTCAAGCCGCCAATGTATCCCGACCAGTCTTTGTATGCATACATGACATACGCGCCGGCACTTCCGTAGACAAACCACAGAGGGTGAAGCAGGATGTTTGATCCCTGTGCTGAGAAGCTGTCTAGGAACAACGGCAGCCCCAAACCAAGCGCCTGAGCGATATGGGTGAGAGAGCCGTGAAGGTGTGGGACAGGTCCGACAATGGGATAACCAGTCCAAGACCACGCTATCAGAGTACTCGAATCAGCCAGCATAAAATGTAACGTGAACATCATGCTGCCCAGTGCGATTGCATTTTTAAGCCATGATGACAGAGCTTGCTGAGTGGGAGTCCGCGAAGCCTGGGTCTTTTTTGTGTCTTCCTTCTTTAGAGGCGATGAGCGGCTTGCAAGTTTGGAGGCCACGGATTCACCAATAGAATGCTGACGCGTGGCGTAATTGAGGATCGCAAGAACGGCGAGTACGAGTCCAGTCTTATTATATCCGCCTGACTCTCCGTTCACAATGGGCCAAGCTGGTCGACGTTGAGATTAGGTACAGTTTGATAATGCAATGCGGAACTTACTTGGGACATTGGAATGATTAGCATGTTTCGCAATTGAGGATAGCAACAAACCAAGGCCGACCACTAGGCGACGTAGGTTATACACGCAAGCAAAGCTGCAAAGGACTAGGAAGCACTTACGGACACCCTGGTAACTCGTGTCGCTCGTCCAATCCACAGCAGCACCAATATTCACAATTGCCGCAGCATTTGAGACAGCAAACAGACGGTGAGTTGGATTATCCAGCGCATACGCTGCCAAACCGGTGAGCGAGAGTAGATGCAGGGTGGTACGTCCCCATCGAGAGCGACACCATTCCGCGAACGGGGTAATCCCAAGCAGGAAGGGTGACACGGTAAACAAAAGCGTGAGTTCCGACCCTGTAAGTCCAAGCTCCCATACCGAGAAGTAAAACAGGGTGGGGGTGAGGGATGTCAAGATGGACCAGTAAACAAACGCTAACAGAAAGATCAGAAACCTCGCATCGCTACACACAGCAACCAAGCGGACATACAGAGATACAAGTCACTCAAAAAGTCCGCTATCGCTCTCAGCAAGGTCGCCCGCTGGGGGGGAACATCCTTAACAGACTCAGGGGCAGAGCTTTCAGCATTTTGTAAAACAGCCTCCTCCGAAATATCTGTGGTGACGGGCGAAACCGTGCTCTTAGCCTGAGGGGATATCCCTTTGGGAGAAACACTGCTAGTTCAAGCAAAAATTAATGGCTTTTAAGCAAGGCGATAGACGCGACTGTACATGTCATTGGTTTCAGCGACTCCAGTCAAAGACATTCCCACTGCAATCTGGAGCAGCCATTCGCAACTTGATTAACGTAGTCACATATAGACAATGAGAATGAATCACCTTCAAAT